GCTTTGTTTATCATTTACTCAAAATGGTAAATTAATCTCAGAAGGTCATTTTCCTAGCTCACACCCCATATGTTCTTCAAATATTTTTGAATAAATTAATATATTATCAATGTATACTATTATAAACTTGTCTAAATATTCTCTTAATACATGATTCATTAATCTCTAAAATGTTGCTGAAGCATTGGTTAATCTGAATGGCATAACATTAAACTGATATAATCCGTATGGTATAGTAAATGCTATTTTTTCTTTATCTTCTTCTTTCATTTCTACTTACCAATATCCTGCTGTTAAATCTAATGTTATAAATCAATTTGATTGTCTAAATTGATCTAATATGTCATCTATTCTAGGTAATGGATATGCATCTATTTTTGTAACTTTGTTTATTTGTTTAAAATCTATACAAAATCTGAAAGTTCCTTCAGATGTTCCATCTTTCTTTGGTATGGTAAACTCCATGAACTTTTTGATTTATGAATTATACCTTTTTTCCATTCGTTCTATTTCTATTTTTATGAACTTTTTCCTTATTCCGTCTTTTATTGGATAAAATCTACTTCATATAGGTTCTTCAATTTCTACATGTATTTCATGTTTAATTATTCCTATTTTTCCTAGTTGTGTATCAATTATTAAAATAATATCTTTAAATTTTTCTAATATTTTGTCTAATTTTTCCTGTTGTCATTGTGTTAATTCTGAAGTATCATTTTTCTTAATTTCTTCCATTATTCCATAAATTAAATATGTTGATGGTCATTCTTCTTTTTCATAAATTACTTTCATTTCTATTTTTCTTCTGTTATTGTTAATTTTCATTATTTGTTTTCCTATTTGAATTTCTGCTTTTACTGATTTTAACCATTTCATTCCTATTAACAATTTCTTATCCTTTGATTCTATTACTTCTAATAAAATCAGTACTTTTTTCTTTTGAATTTTAATATCTAATTCTAATTTTCCTAAAGATGTTAATTCTTTTCTGTTAGCTACTTTAAAAATCTTTTTACTGGGTTTTTGTATTCCAATATCTAATTCTTCTAATAATTTCCTAGTTATTATATTAGTTGAAGCTCCTGTGTCAATGATTACATTTACTTTTTGTTCATTTATTTTAATAGTTCCGGTCAGTGGTATGGTTGTTATATATTCTGCTAAATATAATCAATTATCATCCGATTCATATTCTGATTCTTGTTCTTCTAAATTACATATTACTTCTGTTAATATTTCTTTATACATCTCATAATTCTTATTTAATTCATATACTTCTTCTAAATTTAAAAGTTCATCATTCTCTGTGTATTTCTTTTTGAATCTTTTGTTTACTTTTTCAACATTTTTTAATTCTTGTAAATGTGGTTTTTTCATTGCTTTCTTCAAATCTTGACTTATCCCATTACTCATTTTTAATAATTGTGCATATGTAATATTTGCTTTTGTATTCCTAAGGTTTTTTAATAAATTATAGTCGTCTGTTTTATCTATTTCTGATTTTCTTTTAGTTTTCTTTACTCTAATTTCTTCTCTATTAATTTTCATTGGTGTAAGTGTTTGTCTTGGCATAAATGAATGATTATTCCTTTTTACATTATTATATGTTTTTCCTAATTTAGTAGTTACATAAGTTACATAAATTTTTTCATCATCATCTGATTCTACTTGTAAATTATTAATTCTTTCAATAGCACTATTACAGTATTCTCTTGTATGTCTTATTCTTCCACATCTATCACATTTTCTTTTTAAGTTCATTTTATAATCTCTAGCGATATGTCCTGTCCTATTGCATTTGTAATATGTGATTTGATTATTCCAACTATTACTATATTGTCTATTATTATATATCCCATTATAATATGATCTATTGTTAAATGGTTTATAATTATTTGGTCTATCATTATAAGTTCTTTCATTATTGTTGTTAGTTCTATTAAATCTATTATCCCTTTCTAACATGTTGATTTCTATTTGTTCAAACATATTTAGTTGATCTTGTTTTCTTTGTTCTTTTTCTTCTATTAATTCTATTCGCATTCGATTAAACTATTTAGTTAAATCATCTACTTCATCTTGATTTTCTTTTATTTGAGGTTTGTCTTCTTATATAAATCTTTCTCCTTTATGCATTCTATTAGCAATTGCCATTGCCTTATCTAATGTATCAGGTTCTTCTTCTATTACTCTTCTTCCTATTTATCTTTTTAATCCCATTACAAACATTTGTTTCACTATTTTATTTCAAATATTTTCATCATCTCTGATATCTATTTTCCTAAGTATTCGTCTAAATTTATTAATATAACTTGGTACTGAATCTTTCTTTGTTTCAACTTTGATAATTTTGTAAACCATGTATTCTTTCTTTCATCTGTTATATATTTTTCTGTGAATAATTGTGTAAATACAAATTCATCTTCTCCTGAATCTTCATCTTGATTCCAAATATTTAGTATATCAGGTAAATCTTCATACCAATTTCTTGCTGAACCTTTCAAAAATCTTTTAATTAATTGTAACTTCTTAACATTCGACCAATTGTTTGCTTCTGTGATTTTATTAAAATCCTTTAACCATTCAATTGAATCTTCATCTGTTTTTCCATAGAATAAAGTTAGTCTTTCATATATTTGTCCTAGCCTTGCATTTCAAAGTGCTATTGTTAAGATTGCAGCTCTTCTATTCTTTCTCTTAATCTTCTAAAAATGTCTTCTTTAAATATATTTTCGTATTCTTCAATTATTTCTGGTTGTTTATCCTTGATTGTTTCCTTATTATTATTTTTTTTAAATTATTTTTATTTTTATTTTCTTCAAATAAATTATCTGATGAATTTGAATTTGAAATATCTGAGGGTGTATTTATATGTTTCCTTTCTTATTTCTCTTTGAATCTTCAGAATTATTCTCCTCTTCTTGTTCTTTACGTCTTCTTCCTAAATTTTCTATGTTTCAGAATTTTCCTTGTTATATTATATCTGAATCTTTTATTCTTGTTAGTATATTTGTTTCTTTTATTCCTTTATACTTTTTAGATATTTTACTTTTAAGTTCTTCTGTATTTCTTGTTTTTTCTGATTGTTCACTTTTGGTTGATTCACTTTCTTCTGATTCACTTTTAGTAGTTAATTCACTTTCTTTTTGTTCTTTTTATTTTTGTTTTCTCTTTGCTATAAGTTTTTTATGTTGTCTTTTTAATTCTCCTAGTCATTCAGTTATTTTACTTTTACTTTCATATAATTCTTTTTTATTTTCCTTAATTACAAAATAATTTCTCCTTTCAAATGTTTCAATAAAATAGTCTATTATGTATGTTATTTAAGTTTTCTGCCCTCAGCATTATCTCATAGCAAATTGTACTTAATAAATCTTCAACACTTTTCTTGATAAATTTTCTTTCATCTCTTTTCCTAATTTTATCAATTATTATTTCAAAATGTCTTATTGTATCTCTTGTTGATGTTAAAGCTGTATAAGTAGTAGCAATCCAATCCTAAAATCTTGTATATTCTTCTGATATTATTTCTGGTAGTAGTTCGCAATAAATACAATCTGATCTGTAATTATGTTTCTTTACTTTATGTTCCTTCCAATAATAATTTTTAACTTTTTGAATAGCATCTGTCTTCATCATAAAATTTTAACTTTTTTCTTTCTAAATTCCTTTGTTTCCTATTTATACTTTTAATATTCGTAAAATTTTTCTTTTTCTTTCTTTTCCTACATTGATACCGGACCTCGTAAAAATTACTGTGTCATAAAGATCTACATTAATTAGTGTAATTAACTTTGACAACATTTACAATATTTTTAACATAGTCAACTTCTTCAACTTATTTATATTTATTATCTTATTTATTATCTTTATCTTTATCATGTATTTTATCTTTATTAACTATTATTTATAAATTAGCGTTAGTTATAGTTTTCTTATAATTGTAATTTTGTATAA